TTGTTCTTCTGGCCTTCACTACCTAAAGGATGGAGATGTTACAGATCACCTCTCGCCCAAGGTCCTACAGTCCCCTTAAGGGGGTTCGAGGTGTACAGGCTCTAGCCTCCACCGGTGATATTCTCCCAAGTGTCGGGGGTCCCTAGTACCCCAGTTCCATTTAACTGCATTGGTTGCACCATCTCCATCTAGGGCTAGTAACATTAATTTTTGGAAGCCAAGAATGGGCCTTTGTAGTGATTGCTGTTCAATTTTATTTTATTTTTAATTAGATTTAGTTTTTTCCATTAACATATATTTATTTTCTCTCCTTCCCACCTTCTTTCAGTCACAATGAGAAAGGGAAAAAACAAACAAACAAACCTCTTGTAACAAACGTGCATGTTTAAGCAGAACCAATTGCCACATTGACCCTGTCCAGAACCGTGTGTCTTGTTCTGTGTCTTGAGTGCATCAGCTCTGTGGGGAGGTGGGGAGCATTGCTCCTCTGGAATCACGGTTAGTCATTAGGTTGGTCAGAGGTCTTGGGTCTTTCAAGATTGTTTTCACAGTGCTGTAATTGCATAAACTGTTCTCCTGGTTCAACTCGTGAAAACCTTTCTGGATGTGGGCACCGTCATCCGGGATGTTTATCTGCTCTGTGCAGTTTTTATGAGAGGGACATCTGTGCTTTTCTCAAAGCCATTGATAAAAGTGTTTTAATAGCTCAAGGCCAGAACTGAGCAAAAGTTTGAAAAGAACCTTCTCCTTTCAGGGCTGTAGGATAAAGCTGGACTTCATTCCTTAAGGCCAGATTAGGTCAGAATGCCCAAGTATAGGTCCATAGAACCATCACTGGGAGGACAAACAGTGCTCATTTGGCTATATGGTTGAAATCCTACTTGCTGATATGATAACCTTGAGTACAAGCATTTATTAAGCACCTGCTGTCTGCCATGGATTGTGCTTGGCAGGGGTATACAAAGGCAAAAATGAAACAGTCTCACGGAGCTTACATTCTACTGAACAAGAGGATAAGGGCCTAGCAGAGTTGAAGGGCAGGAAAAGCTCTTCAGAGCTAATGGGACGGGCCCCATGTTGGAATTCTGGCTCTGCCATGAACCTCTGTGTGGGCTTGGGCAAATCGCACCACCTGTGGGGGCCTTGGTTTCCTCATCTGTAAAATGAAAGGTTCAGAACAAGTCCTGAAGCCTCTTTCAGCTCTGGCTCCAGTGAAGCCGTCTAGCTAAGCCTGTGGTGCCATCTAAACTTTGTTAGACGCTGGCACTGAACTCTTGTTTCCTATGAAGACTGGAGCCTCTTTCCCACGGCCACTCGGATAGCTCCTTGGGCTATGAGTGGCACAGGGTCTGAGCATGTGCAAGATGGCACAGGGACCGGCTTAGTATCTGTGGGCTACCAAGTGTGGGCATTGCTGAAGTCTGCAGCCGCGAATAGGGGCGCCTCAGCTCCAGCTGGCTGTTCCATCTTCCCCTTCAGTCAGTGCCAAGAATGGAGAGGTGACGAATGAGTGTCCTCCTTTTGTGAGTTCTTTGGGGAAGAGAGAAGCCTTGCACGCTGGTTCTGCCTCCAACCCTTCAAAGACACTCAGTCATTCCCCAGGCAGCTCCTCAAAGTCTCCTCTCAACTTGAAGGCCCCATGGCAGTCTAGCTGGGTGGTATGGGGGCCTCTCTCCCCCTGTGGGAAGGAGTTCCAAGGTATTTCTGAGAGCCTCTGCTTATGCCTGCTTTGAGAATTTGGGAGTTCTCAAGGAGTCAGTTCCTGGAATCAAGGAGTGAACCAAGTCTTAGTTTATACTTTGCAGAAGGGGGAGGATGGCTGTGTGGATGTGGGGACCTATTACCACTCAAGGGCTGATATGTTTGGCACCAGCCCCTCTTTCCAAGCTGGTCCTGACCCTGTGTCCTGAATGGAATGTGGGAACATCCAATAACTGCACACGGTTTTTATTCCTGCCCTCTGGTGGTCATTGAAAAAGTGAAATCAGGTCCCAGGCACCTTGTGGCTTCCTCTTCATTCCTTCAGGGCCATGCTCAGCACTGCTCTAGGATGCTGCCAGAGGATGTCCCAGATGAGGCGGTCCCTACCCGCCTAGCTCTTACAGTCTTCGAGGCACCTGGTTGGACAGAATGCAGAACAATGTCTTCTTTAATTCCTCACAATTTATGCCCTTTCTCCTTGAACCCTTTCAGTTTGCTACTGGCGTATGTAAGGTACATTTTCTGCTGTTCCTGCAGGAGAGAGACAGAATTTTCTCCCATTAAAAATGTTATTGTTGTCTTTTGTTTTTACGTCAATCATTTGGTTTCCTGAGATCTCTCCCATTGAATACTCCCTTGTAAAAGGAAAACTGTTAAGGAAAAGGACCAAAGCTGTGACTCATGCAACATTGAGTGCCCATAGACCTCCACTTCACTACGAGAGGAGGGAGGTGTCTTCCATCCCTAGTTCTCCAGGACCAGTCCCCCTAACCCCCTCTCTGTCTCCTGTCTTCCCTGGCTACCTTTCCCAGTCCCCATTCGTGCTGCTGCCTTCCCTCTGGATTATTACCCAGTGTGTATCTTGCTGGTACCTAGTTGTATTTAGGTGGTCTCTCCAGTGGACTGTGGGATCCTTGAGAACAGCAGCTGTTTTTGCCTTTCTTTGTATCTCCAGTGCCTGGCATATAGTAGGTGCTTAGTGAATGCTTGTTGGTCGACTGATTGATAGTCACAGTTAAGGAGAGTTGGGCTGCATTTGGCGGTCTTTTCTTTGACGTGACTGTCCTTGTGTGTATATTGTCCTCAAGGTGTTCGTTGCTTTGTAGAAATCCATACACATCTTCCCAGAGGCACAGAATTGGAGAGCTGGAGGAGACCTTGGCTGCCATAGAGTCCGTCTCAAGGCCTAGAGTCACCCTCTGTGATGTACGTGACACAGTGGTGGTTCAGCCTTGTCTTGGACACTTCCAAGAAGGGGGAAGCCATTGCCTCACAGGCCAGCCCATTCCACTTTGGCTGGTTCACGCTTCCCCGATTCTTTACTTCTGGTTCTCTCTGTTCTAGGAAATGTCCACTGAATAACCTTATTGCTAACATTTATTCAGCAAGCATTTATTAAGTGCTTACTGTAGTCCAGGTGCTAGGGATACAAAGATGAAAGAGAACCACCCCTGCCCTCAAGGAACTTCCAGTCCACTAGGAACAATGGTATGTGTCTAGAAAATGAAATATTAAAGGCATACAAAGTAATTTCCCAGGGAAGGACCCCAGTGGCTGGGGCAGGCAGTCAATACAGGCTTCTTGGAGCAAGTGACTCTTGAACTAAACTTGGAAGGAAGCGAGGGAGCCTGTTAGAAGTTGTGAATGGTGAGATGTGAACCGGAGACACCTGACATGTCCCAGAGTGTGCTCATCACTTCTGGAGATGCACTGCTCACCTACCACAGATCAGCAGCCTGGGAGGGACCTGGGATATTTGATAAATGCCTAGGCAGCTAGGGTGCAGCAGCTAGAGTTCTGATCTTGGACTTCAGTTCCTGCCTCGGACACTAGTTGTGTGACCCTGGGTAAATCACTTAACTTTTTGGTCTCAGTTTCCTCATCTGTAAAAATAGGGATAATAATAGCATCTACCTTACAGGGTAGTAAAGGGCTCTGCCAACCTTAAAGTACAATGTAAATGTTAGCTATTATTATTAGTCATTATTATTAACTACCCTTTAGAGGTGCCCTTTGGGGTGATGATGGGGAATAAATATACAGGGTGGTAGTGGTCAGAGAAATCCAAATTAAACCACTCCAAGATTCCACAGGGGACAAAAAAAGGAAAATGACAAGTGTTGGAAGCTTTGGGAAAATGGAAGGAGAATAAGGTTATAAGAATATATATATATATATATGAATAAACATTTATTTAGTACCTACTATTTGCCAGGTGCTGCACTGTTGTTGGAGCTGTGAATTGGTTCAGGAAAGCAATTTGGAACTATGCCCTGAAAGTTCCCAAATTGTACATATCCTTTGACCCATCCAGAGTGCCATTAGGCCTATTCCCCCAAGAGATCAAAGAAAGAAGAGAAGGATCCATATGTAGAAAAATATTCATAGTCGCTCTTTTTGTGGTAGCAAAGAACTGGAAACTAAGGGAGTGCCCATCAATTGGGGTATGGATGGGCAGATTATGGTTTTCTTGGCAAAGACACTGAAGTGGTTGGCCATTTCCTCCTCAAGATCATTTTAACAGATGAGGAAACTGAGGCAAACAGGGTTAAGTGACTTGTCCAGAGTCGCACAGCTAATATGGAATACAAATTGGAATTGTACTGTAAGAAATGGTGAAAGGGATGGTTTCAGAGAAGCCTGAAAAGATTGGTGTGAACTGATGCAAATTGAGGCACACATAACCAGGAGAACAATTTGTATAACAACCACAACGTTGTAAGACAAACAACTCTGAAGGACTAGAATTCTGATCAGTGCAATGACAGCACAATGACAACCGTGATTCCGGAGAGGATGCAGCACGGCCCCGATCTGACAGAGATGTGTCGCACTAAGGGTGCAGACTGAGACCTCTGGTTTTTGGATGTGACTAATTTGGGAGTTTGTTTTGCTTGACTATGAATAGCTATCTCACGGGTTTCTTTTTTCTTCTTCCTTCTTGTGGGGGGAGACTTGTGGAACAGAGAGAAAATAAGTTTTTGTTACTTGAAAAAAATTAAATTAAAGAAACAAAATAGATAGTGCGCATCATGGGCAGTTACTGATTTTCACGGGGCAAACTCCGTTTGAGAGCCACATGCTACAGGGGAAAGAAGCTGGCATTGGAGCCAGAAGACCAGGGGTCAAATATTAATTCAATCGAAAGTGTTTTTGAAAGAAGGCAAGAATATATTTAAGACATTATAAGTGACATTATAAGATATTATAAATTCCCTTCCAACTCTGAATCATCAATCTCATGATGCTGTGATGAGGAATGTGGTCATTTCTACTCCATCCTTCTCTTCCCTTACCAGGATGGAGATCCAGTTCGTCCAGGGGTTGCCATGACAGATCTTGCCACTGGATTGTATTCATATGGCGCCATCATGGCGGGGCTCTTGCAAAGGTACAAAACGGGGAGAGGTCTCCATATCGATTGCAACCTGCTGTCATCTCAGGTATGAGCCAAACAACAATGTTACATTTCACAGAATGGCCATAAAGTGAGTGATTAGGTTCTCTTTCCCTATACCAAGTCATCTCATTGCCCCAAACTCTAAGGAAGTACATTTCTTCTGTTGTAGTGGATTTTTGTTGTACTGAGCATTGCTTGAAATACTTAGGCTGCTGGCTAGGGCCTGAAGAGAGTATTCCCAACAGTGAGATCACCTACCCACTGAGATGTGGAAACAGAAATGGGCTGTGGCCATAGGGTGGATTTTCACTGTCAAGGTATTTATTGTAATGTATTAAGCAGATGAGATTTTCTCCATCCTGAGACGGGGGTACAGTTGTTACATTTTTGAGACTCAGTCTTCCTTTCTTCAGATCGCAAGGTCCTAGGTTAACAAGGTATTGCTTTTCTTGAACTCTTGGTCATCTGGGGGCCTAAAAGGGTTAGCTCACAAACAGCTGGGTACCAGCAATGAGGTGACACCATGGGTAGAGCTCTGGGCCTGGAGTCCGGGAGACAGTTCAGGTATTTACTGTGTGACCCTGGACAAATTGCTTAACCTATATTGCTTAACCTCAGTTTCCTCATCTCTAAAATGGAGATAATTACAGCACTTGCCTCCCAGGATTTTTGTGAGGATCAAATGAGATACTGTAAAGGGCCTGACACATAGTAGGTGCTTAATAAATGTTTCTTTCTTCTCTCCTTCACTGCCCCTACAAGGACAGGGAGACACTGTGGAAGGGCCCTGGCATTCATTTCAGGAGAGGCCTGGTTTCAGCCCTGACCTCTGGCATTTCTTGGTTGTAGGTTCTCTGAGAAACACAACAATAGCTCTTGGGGTTATTCCGTGTGTTTTTCACTGGGAGCTTCAGGTCCATCTTCCCAAGGGAGAACAAAATAAAATTTAATTTGTGAGAGGAGACATTTTACTGTGGGAAAACTGCTTTATGGGCTCTGGGGGCTCCAGCTTGGAATGTCAACTTGGATGCCAAACACGGGCAAATCATAAACCTAGGAACCCGGTTCTGATGTCCTTCTTCCAATGATTGGGAAAAATTGTGAAGGCCATGTTGCTACAAAGAAAAAGAAAGAAAGAAAGAAAGAAAAGAAATAGATAAGTGGAACAAGAACTGTTAGAGGCTTGTAATGGCTTGGTAGGAGTCGGCTCTGGAGCCAGAGGAGCTGGGTTTGAGTTTTGCTGTTTACTCCTTCTGTTAATATGAGGCAAATCATGTAATTCCTCTAGCCACTCGTTCCTTGTCAGTGAAAGGAGATGATTATACGTATGTCTTTTGGGGTCCCTTACTGCCTTCCATCTATGATCTCTTGATCTAAATTTAAACAGAAGAACTGTCACAAAATGCTTCCTGAACTCTTTTCCCTTTCAAGGCAGTTAAAATATAGACCCATAGTTTATCGGAGGTGGACAGGGCCTTCCTGAGCTGAAGCCCCTCGTGGGGAAGTCATCTGACAGAGAGAGTATTTTGTGTAGTAGGTGGCACAAGGCTGACCTTGGAGTCATAAAGACTTGAATTCAAATCCTACCTCTGAGTTATACTCTAGGACTCAGGGTCTCAGCAACTTTCCAAGACTCTAAGTAATAGAGGAGTTGAAGACCTGGCATCTGTATCTGAAAAATGGACATGAAACTATATATATTTTTTGTGCTACAATCTCAAAAACTCATGGGGATGTAGATTTTGAGCTGGAAGTGAACATAGAGTAGATGGCCTCTACTCCAACCAGCTCATTTTATAGATGAGAAAACTGAGGCCCAGCACGGTCTAGCGGGCTTCCCAGGGTCACCCAAGTAGTAATGAGTGGAGGTGGGATTTGGACCCTGGCACCTCTGATTTGAATTCCAGGTGTGACGGTCCAGAACCTGTGTGACCTTCAATGAGTCGCAATCTCTCGGGGTATTAGTTTCTTCCCTTGTGAAGGAAAGACTGGCACTAAATGGTCTCCAGCATTCCTTCTAGCTCATGTTTCCAAGGGCTATGGTATGTCGGAATGGAATGAGATGTTAGAGCCTCGTTAGTAATGACGTTTTCTGGGAAGAAGCTGGAGAAATACGGAAAGATGTGAATGTCAAAGAGAGAAATTCACCAACTTGGGAAAACAACATAAACTATTGCTTTGAGCTTCAGACGTCAGTGGGCAGCTCACCACGCTGTGGTGGGACGGCCTTTTTCAAGCCCGCCCTGATGGACAACCCACGGGTACAATGAGAATGTACACAGTGTAAATGAAAAGAGCAACAAAATACATCGGAATGCTGTGGGTTTATAATGACCGTTCCTGTGTCCAGAGATTGTCAGTCAGCAAACATTTATTAAGCACCTACTATGTGCTAAGCTCTGGGGATACAGAGAAAGGCAAAAGACAGTCCCTGTTCTCAAGGAGTTCATAGTCTGATAGGGACGACAACATGATATGATAATGTACACACGAGATACAGACGCAGGATAAACTGGAAATCATTCTCAGAGGGCAGGCTTAATTAAGGGGGGGTCTGAAAAGGCTTCCTGTGGAAGGTGATAATTTAGCTAGGACTTGAAGGTAAAGAAGAGGAAAGAAAAAAGATGAGGAATGAATGAAGGAAGGAAAAAAGCACTTATTAAGCTCTTACTGTGTGCAAAGTGCTGGGGATATGCATCGTAAAGTCAGACGCTCTTTGCTCTCAAGGGCCGGATTGGGGAGATGACTCAAATGTGTCAGATGAAAAGGTTCCATGGTCCTTAGGATGCAGCCGCAAAGCAGAGAGTCATGCCTACGGCAGTGTCATTTCCATTGGTAGCGTCCCGTCAGTTCCTGGTGTTGAACTGTGGATGGGGCCGAGGATTTTGGTGGCAAGAACTTTCTTTCCTGCATTCCCACCAGTTGTGGCGTCAGCCTCTGCAGGGCAGGTCCAGGCTGCATCCCCTCAGGGCTGGCTTCCCGGGATGAGGGCTGGGGGCATAGGCTGGCTGTTCCCAAGCCTCCTGGGTTCCTGGACGTGTTTCTCAGGCTGCTGCTGGTGCTTTGGCTGGCCTGACAATGCCCCCATCTCTCTCAGGGTGACTTGCTTTCTCTGTGAAGGGCAGCTGGTGAGGATGGAAAGGGAGCTCTTTCATTGGGTTGGAGAAGTGGGGGACCACAGGTATAGAAAGCCGCATGTGTGGTCAGATGCGGATGGTGGGTCAATTGGTTCTATTTAAATGCCCCCCCCCACCTTCCCGCTCCCTGCCCCTTATTGTAAGGGAAGGGTCACTGAGTTATGGCTAGTAATGGAGCCATCACTTTTATACAGACCTTTAAGATTTACCAAGGAGCTTTACACGTATTAATTCACTTGATCCTCAGTAATCCTGTGAGTTTACTGATGCTGGTCCGGCTATCTCCATTTTACAGATGAGGAAACTGAGGCCTACAGAGGGGAAAGCACTTGCCTAAAGTCAAACACTAAGTATTCAAGCTGGCGTACAAACCACAATCTCTTGCCTCCCCATCCGTTTCTCTTAATTTATCCTTTTCTTCTCCCCTTTTTCTCCTATCTTAAAGAAATTACTCTCAAATGTCAAAAAACAAACATTTCTATGGGTAAGATAGAACAGAAAATGAGGATTATAGTGAGCCTGTGAGTTTCTATGACATACAGTGACTTTCCCCCTTCTTCTCTCTCTAAGGAGTCACGGCATTGATCTGGAGTACGCACACGTGTATGCACGCACGTGGTTTTGGAGTTGCTGGGGGTCCTGACAAGTGCAGTGACTTGCCCAGAGTCACTCAGGCGGGATGTGTCAGAGGTAGAATTTGAACTCGGGTCTTTCTCCCAATAGAGAGGCTGGTTCTCTCTAGATTCAGTGATGCTGCCTCTCAGCAAACATAGACATTTTCCGGGTGCTAGGTTCTTTACTGTGGAATGGAGGGGAGCCTGAGTTCTTGGGGCTGTTCCAGGGGTTGCATGTTCTCAACAGGCTCCCAGCTGGGCCTGCAGGTGTCTGTTGTCTGAGACCAGCCTAGGGATATTGACCCTAGGTTGGCTTCCTGCCCAGTGGGGCCTTCTTAGTCATGGGCATTCATTCCATCGACCTTCTTCTAAGTTTTAGGGGCTGCAATCTGCATTGTAGAAGGGACTGTCTGTAGCTGCTAGGCTTCCTGAAATCCTCTAGTATTTTATATTCACTTAATAAAAGTTTGCACTCTATTTTTTTCAATACAAAAATATGAAAGGCATATTATATATATATATATATATATATATATATATATTTTTTTTTTAATTGTTCTTAAGTTGTGTCCAACTCTTCATAACCCCATTTGGGGTTTTCTTGGTGGAGATACTGGAGTAGTTTGCCATTTCCTTCTTCATTTCGTTTTACAGATGAGGAAACTGAGACAAACGGGGTTAAATGACTTGTCCACGGTCACACAGCTTGTCTGAGGTCAGATCTGAACTCAGATCTTCCTACTCCAGGCCCCATGTTCTATCCACTATGCCTCCTCACACGTTGCCCCTTAAAAAAATGACCAAGATACTAAATTAATTTGTCTTTTGTCTGCATTTCAATTGATTTCTTTTTTGTGGGGGAGAGGGCTTCCATGTGGTCAGATTATGGTATGAAACAACTCCAAAAGTCCTCTTTCCAAAGCTAGAGGGCGTTTGGTCAATATGGCAGCCTCTGCTCAATGTGGCAGCCTCTTCCTTTTCAACTCTGTATCCAGCTGCCTTCTAGTCCTAATATCTTGGGATTTAAAATATGAATAATTAACTTAGTGAATATTTTAGTGGGCTTAGTGAAATTAGTGAATAATTGACTTCCTGACATATTTCGTAGCTTATGTTGGCCTTTAATCATTTGCACTTTGGTTGGTATGTCCAGGTGTAATAGTACCGTTACTAACAGTAATCTGTAAATAGGGAAATATTTCCACAGTAGCCTCTGCCCAGGGAAGTCCCTTCAGAGAACTTTGGACTTTACAGGCTGTGAAAGGGACACAGAATCACCTTCCCTTTAACAA